CATCCCTCTCCATGATGCCTATACCCCCGAGCACAGAGATCTTTTAAGCTGGAGCATTTCCCTGGGCCTGAGTGAGGCTTAAGCAGAGTGTGCTCACCCTCGTGGGGCACGCAGTACACAGGGCCTTCGTCAGTGGTGTCGAAGGAGGAGAATGAGGCCCGGGAAGACCAGGATGGTGAGGGCTGCTCCAGCCCCGACGGTGGCTCCAGGAAGCTGCAGTTGAGTGTGTTATCCAGGTCGTGATGGGCCACTAGGGGAAGAGGGAGGCACGGCTGCCAGGGGGCCTGCCCTGCCTCAGAGCCTGTGCCCTCCATAGCCCTCCTACCACAAATGATGGCGCACCAGCCCTACCCTGCCTGTGGGTGGCACAGGCAATTCAACAGGCAGCGTGACAATAGAAGCAGAACCCCTCACCCAGGGCCCTTTGGTAGGGCGGAGGGCTCCAGAAAGGACCCAGGGCACTGCAGGGGATCCAGGCAGGACCCCTCTCCTGCCAACTGGTGCCAGCAATTCCCTTGCACAGGTGCCACAACTCCAGGTGAACACACCAACATATACTCCTACAAACTGTGGAGTGGGGGGGGGGGCTGTCCGACCCAGATGTCCACACACCCTCATGGCACCGTAGATGCAAGCACTCACAGAGTCAGAGCCCAAAGCCTCCCACACCTGCCTGCACACCTAGGCCTCCTACCCTCCTACCTTCCTCCCTGGGCTCGCGCACATTATCATCCCCTTTTTCCTTCTCTTCCGTCGCACCACCCCCACGCCCACCCACATCAACATTCAGAGCATTTCCCCACACCGATACCTTCACACCCATTTCCCAGCAGCCTCTTGCGGAAGAAGGTGTCCCCCCACAGACCCTGTGCGGGTATCTTTACCTACGACCTTGGGTAGCTTCTGCCTGCGGAGCGGGATCCGGGGCAGCTTCATGCTGATGCGGCTGAAGCGTCCGCACAGTCGTTGTGGCGGCTTCTTCCTCCCAAGTGAGAGCTCCCTGCGGGGCGGGGGCGGGGCCTGAGCGAATGGGGCGGGGCTGGGGCGGGGCCTAGAGGGAGGTTCGTTCTCCGAGGGAGCGGAAACAGAAAGGGAGGGGCCTGAGCTAAAGAGAGGGCGGGGCCAGGCGCCAGGGGCGGGGCCAGGACCGGGCCCGAGACAGGTGGGTACCGAAAGGTCCGGCAGCGCGACTGACAGGGTGCGTCCCGAGCCCAGGAGAGCCGGGCCGCGTGGGGCCTCACCTGTGCGCGGGGTCCTTGCCACGGCAGGCGCAGCAACAGCCGAGTAGCGAGAGCAGCAGACCCAGGAGCATGGCGAGCAGCGCGCCCGCGCCCATCACACCCTTGCGCTGGTTGGTCTCTGTCGGGTATTAGGATCATGAGGGTGCCAGCAACCTCTCCACCCGCCCCCTGTCAGCGCACCAACTCACCCATGGGCAGCACCCGTGACTGGGTCGCACGA